GAGAGAGAGAGAGAGAGAGTTTTGGGAATTAATTGGGGTTTGTGTAATGGCGTATATATATTTAATAAAATTTGTATTTTAAAAATTATCAATTAAAATAAAATCTCTTATTTTTGAAATGTTAAACTCCTCATCTTATTTTAGAATTGTGGTTTTTTAATGTATGGTATTGTGTAATTTCCACATAAAACTATCTTTAATGTATCTGAAACTCGCCTTCTACAACGGCCCATGAAGATGAAGAAAGAAAGACCGCTCCAATGCAAGTATTGGGTCCACGGCCCAATTTTGCTTGGAGAGTACAAGCCCATTTCATAGCCTAATGTATCCAGCCATTTGGGTTAGAAGCTTGCAAAAATTGAAAATAAAAAAAATAAATAAAAGAGAACGGAAGTAGGGAAAATGAGTAAGTAGGGCTGAGCTTCTCTACCTTTTAAGTCGTGTAATTATGGTCTATAGATTTTAATTGTGACATTTTAGATCCTCAACCTATTTATTTATGTGAATTTTGGTCCTCACAGATGAAATTGTCAATGTAGATGTTAAAATCCCGTGCAAATATCAATTGAATGAAAAGAAATGTAAAGTGGCTTGAAGTTTTTTCATCCGGTTGAGACATATGAGAGTTGGATGTGATTCTAGTATTTAAATTGATGGTTTCGGGAAAGTAGATTTCCAGATTCACTTATTTAAATATGATAAAGACCTAAAATCTAGTTCTTATACAATCTTATTTTCTTCTGTGAGGCATTTTCTTATATATAATATACTTATATCCTTTATTCATCTTCTCTCTCAACTTCATTTTGAGAAGATTAATACTTTGCAAGTTGTGAGAATGCTACTTTGAAATATTCTTCTTCAGTATTTAAAGAAAAAGATCGGTGATCTATTTCTTAAAACCTCATTCAAATTATTTGTTGTTTTTCTATAAAATCTTGTATACTCATTGGATGTAACTCAAACAAGATTTCCTCATCCCTGCCCATACTCAGGATAGGGCATAAAAGCACACATATGGTCCCAAGTTTCACTCTCTCTTCTCCATACATACATGGACATTTTATTTTTACAATTTGAACAAACTACTCCGCGACATATTCGTTTTAATATTGACTCTTGCGGTGTGATGGGGATTAAGACGTAGAGTTCTCTAATGTTGCTTGCCTCCCCCCTCAAATAAGTGTTGGATGTAAAAGTGATAAAAAGTGTATCATAAATTAGAATAAAGATGCTAAAAGGTATGGCCGATATTATTCATGAATGTGAGAATAGTCTGTATGGCATGATTTTTTTTAAAAATATATGTACTATAGAGAAATGCCTTGTGTTTACAATTTGGAGGAGCTCATGACATAGTACTTTATAACATATTTGCTCTATTAATGACTCCTATTCTTGAGTGAGTGATCAGGACTAAGACGTGTGATGATACGAACTGACGATATTTTATATATGAATATGAGAACAATCTATATAACAAGATCTTTATAAATCGAGGTACCAGTATCAAAGCCCTGAAAAATGTAATGATGTGTGCTCATGCAACTTTACAAATTAGAGAGAGATCTCTAAAGAGACAAAGATGTGCCTTGTAGATAAACCATCCTTTAAAAGCATGGGTCTATTTGTTTCCACAGTGTCCATTAAGGAGTTCTCTATGGAAACATGTATGTAAATTTGTACATTATCCAACCTCAGAAAAAATGGCCATTTTATTTTTGGACACCTGCATTTCAACGAGATTGACGTGTTAGTTCTTATTTTCATCATGTACACTCGTTATCTCATTACTTCATTTTCAATTTTTTTCTTAATTGTACCTTGTCTAGCATATCAAATATATGCTCGTTGCGCTTCTCTTCATCCCGAGTCGATCGATAAATAACTATCACAAGCATTACGCTCATGTAAAATTAAGATTATTTAGGAATAAAAACTATGATTCATATCAACTTTTAGAGCTTTCAAAAATATTAACTCCGTCCCATTTTTAAAATTTATTTTTCTTCAAATTCATTTTCAACTGCACATTTCATAATATTCATAATTTTTATCAACTTTTCAACCATAAATTTGATCAATGTTTTTCAAAATTAACTAAAAGTCTAATTTTCAATGAAACCAAATATATAGTCAGAAGGATTCTGTAAATCACATGCACCATGAAATTTCAATTTCAGGGTAATACAAAATCTACGGCCCAAATCTTTTCTAACCATCCTTTATAAGATAAGGTAATACTTTTCGTGTTTGCAACCATAATCAAGAAAGTAACGTTTGTGGCCAAGATTAGATCCTATGGATATACTTCAATTCTATGGTGACATCTACCCAAACGCTCGTTGCGAGTGCTTATCTTATTTACAATCGACTCAAAATAGGTTGTATTTAAATGAAAATTTTACATACAAAACCAAGAAGAACTCGGAGATCATACTTAAGGAGACATAAATAGCTCTTTTGCATTTACGATTTCTTCGAAGGCTCTTTCTTATTTGAAAAAAGGAAAGTACAAAAAGACGTAACAAAAATTGATAAAATTGACTTACATAGACACATGGTTAAGAAATTAACATAAACAAATACAAATTTATAAACTATGATATAATAATTGTGGGCTTTTAAAGTATTTGTCGCACCAACTTAATTTGAAGTTTTTTTAGACAATTCTCATACAAAGAGAAATATAAAAGGTTGAATTGTAATTTTTACACAAGATGTTGAATAAATATCAGAAGTAAATATCTTAGTTATGAACGAAAAAATGAAGAGATATAATGGAAATATCTTAGGAAATGGGGCCTCAAAAATAAGAAGAAAAGAAAAAAGAGATATTTTGGAGTATATGATATTGGTCCTAAAGTTTGAAATTTTGATATTTAACCCTAATGAGTCACATATGAATCTTGTCCCTCCTCCCCTTTTAGATAGTTTCCTCTTATAAACTAAGCTAAAAGAAAATTTAGACCACTTCGCTCATTCCCTCTAGCGGACATCTAATCGTAAATATGTTATGTTCTCTTTTTGAGCCATTACTTGGTAGTAGTGAATATTTTTGAGTCGCCAAAACTTGAAAATTGATTCAGTAAACTTGCTGTCATCTGAATGACCCATTTAGAATGTGTAATGTATAAACTTCTTTAGATCTAGTCAATTGTGGGATGAACTTATGACTGTGGAATCAACGTGATTTATCAAATTACAAGTACATAACTCTATCACATCCCCATGTTGATTCGAATAGATCCATTAATTCTTTGATTCCGATTAGCGTTTAAAAAAAAAAAAAGGATCTTGAACTAAGAAATATATTCTAAAAGCTACATACGTGCTATGCATAAACTCTTCCACTCGATCTTATATGAGAGGTTATGAATCTTCAAGAAAAGATCAAATTGTCTTGAAAATTTAAATGGAGCTTGATTATTTCTTAGTAAAAATGAAGTAAAGACAAAATACTGATATAATCGACATCTCGTTGTTTTAATAGTAATCAACCACGTAAATATTATAACTGACACTCGATCGATATCTCAAAACTTAATTTGATTATTCTAATCAAAACCCATTGAACACAAATAGCCTAACGTATGATTGCCAAATGCCACACACGAAAGGCACAAGACACCAAAAAAGGTTCAAATCATTTCACTTGTGGCCTCATCTTAAGATAAAAAAAAATCCCATCACCATTTTTCTAGATACATGAGAAAATCCATCAACCAATGAACTTAATCCACGTCATCCCTAAAAATCTCACTCATCCAATAAACTTATGCCATGTCAGCAGATAAGAAACACTTGACCATCAATGAAATTCTTGCAATTGGTACTTGTTGCACACTTAAACATAGAACTAGAATATGGAAATTCATGCAAGCCCATGATTACGATTACATAAAGATAAAGTTACCAAAATGCCCCTATGCCTGAATATGAAATAAAATAATGCCACTAAGAGTTTTTCTTTTTTGAGATTTTTGTGTAACTCATAAAAAAATAAGAGTCAAATTTTTTAATTAATATTACTTTCATATATAATTCACAAAAAGATTTTTACCATCGTAAAGATTTAACATTTAGCTAGGTGTAGTCTATTGATAAAATATTCTTCACCTTTTTTGTTATTATATACTTATTAAAATTAAAATTAAAAATAAATTTGTATTATAAATATATAACTGCATCAAGATTTTTAATAAGTACGAGGACATTTACATGTGAGATATTTATTGTTATGTGCATATATAGAGTAAAAATTTACTTATTATATCTTAATTATTGTTGTGTTTTTTTTTAAATTGCAAATAACTAAAAAAATCATTTTTTCCAGTGTTATATGTTTGAAAGCAATTGTTTAAATATAAAACATATAGTTTTTTATTTTTTTTTAATACATACCCAACATAGGCAACCAAAAAAAAAAAAAAAAAGAGCAAAAATGGAACAAATAAATAATAAATAGCTAAATTGAAGAAAGAAATTTAGAAGTCTAAATTGAGAGATGGGGAAAAAATATCTCCATAACTTAATTAATTTTCTATTACTTTTAAGTAAAAAAAGTTATGTTTTTAAGTACTTTCAAAATTGATAACCGTGCCTGTTTGAGCCACATTATTTCAAAAAAATACATTCTTAAACAGTGATTTGACATCATTTCAACTACACATTTTTCAATAAAATAATATTACACGCAAATAAAAAACTTTTCTTTATTTTTTAACCACACATTTTCCATCGATACACTATTCAAGAATGCATTATTATCAAAATAATGTGGCTCAAACACCCTACTTATTTTTAATTTTGACTAATAAAAATCATTTATGTGTAAGTAAATAGAGCTTTTCGTATAAACTTTTTCCCAATTAAGCCAAATAATCAAAGAAAAAAAGGCCAAGGATGTTTTAGTAAAAAGCCATAATGGTAGTAGTAGCATAATTGAACTGGTAAAAGTGCACAGACCGTTAGAAAGAGTAACAAAATGTGGTCCAATCCGAAAAACTTCTGGTTCCTCTTCTCTTTGTCATCTCCACCCCTCACTCATTCATCCATTCCAGAGAGACAAAGGAAGAAGAAATATAGATATATAGAGAGAGAGAATGTGTGTATGTATCTTCTGCTATTTTATCCTATGACTTACTGTACAGAACATACGTCTCCCTCTCTATGTGTGTATTTATAGGATTAATATACTTGTACACTTACCGTATACATATATGTAGACCTTTTCATGTGAGAGGTGTAAAAGATTATGTGCACGAAAAGTGTTGATCTAACGTCACTCTTATTTATATATGTATATATATACGTGCCAGAAGAATTGAGACTTCTTGAATTCCTTTGTACCAGACATCTTTCTATTCTGTGATACTTGCACATTTCTCCAAACAAATCCCATTTCATGAAATCTTAGGATTTCTGTGTTTTCTGTTTTGCATTCATTTGGCTCTTGAAACGCCTACTGCAGGTAGACAAAAGGGTGAATTCTGGGATTTTCCACTTTCGATGATTCCAAGATTGTTTTTAATGATTTTCTGTGTCTGAAATACTAATATCTTTTCATTTCCTTTATGGGTTTTGAAGGGTTCTTTACTTTGTGCTTGTTTTGACTTCTTTTCCAGCTTTTTATCAATTAAAAAGTTTGCTTAATTCCAAAGTACTTTTCAGGGTTCAGGGTACTGTAGTACTTCTTCAACTCCAATCCCAGAACCCTCAGTCCGATTGGTACTCCTCATTTTTTTTTTTTTTTTGAAATATCTTCCACGATTAAAGCTTTATCTGAAAACATCTGATTAAGTTCTTGAGCTCAAAGTGAATCTTGAGACGAGATGACTTGGAATCACTATGTCGTGGCTGCTGCATTGTTTTTGGTAAATACTTGGTATTCTTGTGATAGGTAAAATCATTTTTTCATATTGTTGAAAGGATTTTCTGGATTCAATTTACAAATGTCATCGTTTTTAAGTGGAGGTGGAAGAGCTTATAGATTAGACCTTGCGATTATTAAATCTCCATCAACATCTTGGACTTCAAATTCATCTTCTCCATCTTCAACTCTCTCTGAATCCAGCAATTCCCCTCTTGCAATCTCCACAAGAAAACCTCGAACCCCGCGAAAAAGGCCTAACCAAACATATAATGAGGCTGCAGCAATTCTTTCCACAGCATACCCTAAATTATTCTCGAACAAATTCACAAAGCCTTTCAAATTTAACAAACCACATAGTAAGAGCAATGATATTGCATTTCCATACGAGCCCCCGGACTTGGTTTTAATCGATAATTCTGGCTACTCGATGCATCTACCAATACAAGAAAAGCCCACCTTGCCAATTCAGTCCAAAGGTGCTAATTCCTTCGAAAAGCCATGCCAAAGTCCGGGAGAAATCAATTCTAGAGTGGATTCGGTGGAATTCTGCGAAGAGTTTCACGAAGATTTCGATGCAGAATCCATACTAGATGAGGAAATTGACGGTGGTATTGATAGTATAATGGGAAGTCCAAGGACTGAAAATGAGTTGGTAGATGATTCCAATGCTTATATTAGTCAAGCCAATAATTTTGTTTACGGTTATCCGATAGGCCTAGGATTTGAAGATGCATTTGACTTTGGATTTGGTGTGAAAAGTGGAGTGAGGGCAATGAGAAATGTTGACGAGGGAGATTGGTGGAGGTTCCCTAGTGTAAATGTTCTTGATATCAATCCAAAAATGGGTAAAAGTCCCACGGAAAAGAAGAAAAAGAAGGTTGAAAAGCCATCGGAAATCGAGTGCTCCGAATTAGTTAAGAAGAATACGATTTCCAATGGAACCAGCGAGCAGAATTCAGCTAATAAAGCATCTAAAGACGAGGCAATTCCCAAACCAAATGCTGGGTTGCTCCTAAAATTGAACTACGACAAAGTTTTGAATGCGTGGTCCGATAAGGAGTCCCCATTTTCCGGTGAAACTCCGGGAGCCGACTCCCCCGGCAATGATGTTCAAGTATGTTCCTCTTTTAATCTCCCGCCCATGAAATCTCATGTTTAGGGGATTTGAACTCAGTTTATGTTATTTTAGTTAAGTTAATACATAGAAGCAATTTCCTTCCATTTTATTGTGTGGAACGTGCACTTCACGTGCCACTTTTTATTTTTATTTTTATTTTATTCAAAATCATATGTTGCGTAATGATAAATTCGTTTCTATATCTACTTAGCACTGAATAATTGTTGTTTGTTTGAATGGGTGTAGGCTCGATTAGCTCAGATAGACTTGTTCTCTGAGAATGGTAATGTAAGAGAGGTTAGTGTGTTGCGCTACAAGGAAAAACGACGTTCACGTCTTTTCTCTAAAAAGATCAGATATCAAGTCAGAAAAGTCAATGCTGATAGACGGCCTAGAATGAAGGTACGTCCAAATAGTTTTGTTATCAATTGGAGATAGAAGTACATTGTGCATTCTATGATTTTGTGTTGTAGGTGACTAACTACGAAGAGTGTAAAAAGCAATTATAAAATTTCTTATATTTTAGTAAGGTGTGTCAAAAATCATTACTTCCTAGAAAATATTTGTCAATTTGTTATTAACGCTTATATGATGTTCGTGTCTTACTTTTTATTGTGTAGTGTCACATCCCATTTTTGTGCATCTAACACTATTGTTTATGATGTCGCAGGGACGCTTTGTTAGAAGTCCAAATTCTCCAGACAGTGAGCAATGAAATGGGGGAAACACAAACAATTTAGTCCCTTTTAGCCTATGTTTTTGTAGTTTAAAATTTTAGCTCTATTTTTTTTTTTTGTTTTTGTTTAATGCTTTGATTCTCGTAGACAAGCAGAGTATCCAAGAAAGGACTAGGAAGCACAAGAGTTGAAACAAATACTTTCTATGATTTTTGTTAATGTCATCTTGATGTTTATCTATATTTGATAGTCTTTTAGAAGAATACCAGGTTATTCGGTGTCAAGAAAAAAATATTACTGATAATGCGCTCGCTCGCTTTCTCTCTCTCGATTTTGTGTTATACTATCTAATTGAAGGGATTCTCTAGATCCAAGGAAGCGTTTTACTAATTGAACATAGAACTTATCTATGTTTACACTTGATGTGGTTACTAGTTACTCAATTTTTGAAACAACAATAAATATTTGGGCAGTGATTAGTGTACAGGTAGGAGTTCACCGACATCTTACATGACCAGTGGGTGGGTGAATTTTTTTGATATTATTTATTCATTCGAAATCCACACTTTATAAGATATTTGTAAAATTTCAATAGGAAATTTTTCTGTACACCCAACATTTTCCTAAATATTTAGAGTCTAGTACTTGAGTACTTCCCACTCACGAAATCATGTCTGATTGATGCAACTGAACAAACAATTTTGAATGTGATATATTGCCCTTGTCTGACACTAGATCATAATTGGACACTTGTCTACTTGTTTTTCGTGATCTACAAGTACTACTAAATTATTCATGACCTATTTCTATGTGTTTATAATTTAAATAAATTAGAAACCAACAACTCGCAATTATTGAATAAATAAATGATCATTTTTGTTATGTCCCTCTTTATTATCAATACAACTATATTCAATTTAACATAACAAACATAGACTTTGAGCATGTTTGAGAGTGATTTTTTCTCCAAAAATATTGATTTTTTTACCGTTCTTTCAATATTTCAGTCGTCATATTTGACTTTTTTCTCTTATATGTGGATCCTACTTTTCTCCTAACGGTAAAAAAATTAATTCTCAAAATCACTCCAAACAGGCTCTATAAGTGTTAAATACTAGCTCGTACTTAGAGGAGCATTGCTACTTAGAGTTGTTCAGATCAATCATTCATTTTATCACTTATTCTTTGTATTTTTCTTTACTCTTCTGTTCAATGTATTACTCAAAACACAATTGTTATATCATCGAGCTTGATAAAATGTAAACCATTCATTTATTTTTATTTCTCAATAAGGCTATTATGTTACTGTTTCGAGCATTTTGAATTAAATTTTTGTTTCATTGTGTTTTTAGGGTATAATTCTAACTTGAAGATGCAGAAATGTTAGGAAAATGTTTATTGTACGTATCACCTTCACATAATTTTTTTTTTTTTTACAAATTGATGATATGTCAAAATGAACGTTGGAGAGTTTGTTTTTTTTCCCTACATAATGATTAACATACACATGATGTAGTTGGATGCGATTAGGTCATAATTTTTTTCTCCAGTTGCAATACATCTGTTTGTAAATCATTATGTAACTTTATTATGTATATATATAATATTATTATTCTTTTCTTTTTATGCAATTGATGATATTTTGACCCAATCAAATCTCACAACATCGTCGATAATCTATAAGTTATGATATACATGTAGTACAATTATTAATATTATAAAAGTGAAAGTTCGTAATAACAGATGAATTAGAAATGGCAAATGAGTTGTAGAGATTAAGAGAAGCTTGAAAAGGATGAAATTTTGGTCAAGTAATTAACTTGGGAGCATCGAGAAACAATGCTTTGCTAAAGCAATTGTCATTTCCTTTAGAAGACATAATGTTAAAACTATAAATACCATTAAAAAAATCAGTCTCTACCCAAACTTTTCTAGTTCGCCCCAACATTCCCCACTTGTCCGAAATCATTATCAACCGAAATTGTTGATTTCTTAACTTTCATCAATGAACTTGGTGAAGAATCAAATAAGAGACTGAAAATTCTAAAAGAAATTTGTTAAAGTTCTAGGGTTAAGCTTCTGGTCGAAGTGGTTTTCAAGAAAGTTACATTAGTTTTTGTTCAAAAACTAATATTTAAAAGCACTTTTTATTCCGAAAATGTTTTTAGAGAAAATCATACTGAACCAGGTCCCTCTAAAATCTCTTTTAACTACCAAAAGCACGCTAATAAAATTAGTTTAAAGTCCAAAAGCAAATTTTGAGTCTCAAAAATTCATTTTAACTTTTCAAAAATCATGCCAAATGGATCCTCAGGCCATCTTTAGCGCTGCACCAAATTTGCACCAAATTAAAATTCATCTCCAACCATTGCACCAAAACTTACACCAAATAAACAGTGTTTAACCATTTTCTTCCTTTTTTTATTCTTAATAATTTGTTTATTTGAAATATTATTTATTTAATTATTTTATAAATACTTAAATTACTAAATAAATAATTACGTTAAATTACGAAAAAGTTTAAATTCATTAATAAATATAAAAAAATATAGTACAATTAATAAAAACACTACAACAATGAAAATATAAATTTATATTTACGGAAAAGATTAAATTCTTTAATAAATATAAATTGGGTAAATAGTACAAATGTCACCTTTCAATGTTATTGTGCAAAACGTCTATACTTTCCATTTTTTTATTTTTTTTTACCCCTATTTTTACATTTCATTGCTCAAAAGATTATTTTCATTCATTTTTCGAATAAAAAGATAATTTTACCCCATATTCAAATAAAATAAAAAAGAATAGAAAAATAAAGAGCTAATTGCAACTATAACCCCAAATTTTCAAAAAAATTACAAATTGGTCACAAATATATACTTAAGAACAAAAAAACCAAAAAAGAAAAAGAAGAAAAACAACACCATATTGCAATGATGACTCTTTTACTCGCACTTCTAATTCCACTCTCTCTGAATCTGCAAGAAATTGCCAAAGAAATCAAAGACTGAGCTGCCTCATGTTTTTGCACTCAACAGCAATGATCAAAGGCTTAAACCTGAACACAGGGCTCTGCCACAAAATGTTGTTTGACTTGGTGGCGACTAGGGGTGGTAACTCATTGGAAAAAGGATGAGAAGAGAAAAGGGGATGGAGAATGGAGGAATTGGGTCGTGGGATATGAAGACCCAGGTGTCTCCCTTGGCCTTTTTCCTGACGGTAGTGGCGGCGACAGCGACAACAACGACATCGATCGGTTGGGCTAGAACAGAGATGCGACCGGAGCAAGAGCTAGTGGTAAAGTAAGAGGGGCGAGAATTAAAGGCGGTTAAGAAAAGAATTATGGGGATGTCAATGTTGCCTTTAGGGGACTTGTCGGGTCCCGGCGAGGTCATAGCAACAAAGGTCATCGCCTTCCGCTTCTCGAAATCCATTGTTCCTCCTTTGCACACGTGTTAAGTGGGGGAGAAAGGGTTTAAGATGGGGTATAAGATCCAAGGAATTGGATTCGAAGATTTTTGATAGAAATTAATTTTCTTTCCAAATTTGTACGGAGGGTTTATTTATGTATTTTTACTTTTGATTTTTAAGTGTGTATATATGTTTGTGTGTGTGTGTGTGTGTTACTGATTTGTAATTTTTTGAAAATTTGGGATTACAGTTGCAATCAGCTCTTTATTTTTCTATTTTTTTGTTTTATTTGAATAGGGGGTAAAATAAATTTTTTTTATTGAAAAATGGATAAAAATGACCTTTTGCGCAATGAAAAATGAAAATAGGGATAAAAATGTCAAAAAATAAAAGGTATAAACGTTTTGTACAATAACATTAAAAAGTATGGACGTCTTGTGCTATTTACTCAATATAAATTCATTAATTATTATGTTTTTACATTTAAAATTTATTTTAAATGCAAATAATAATAATAATAAAATAATAATTTATTGTATTAAAAAATATATAATACAAATTACACAAATACTCTTAATCAATTTATTTGAGAAATAAATAGAAAGGGTAAAATGATTTTGTACACAACACTATTCACTTTGCACCAAAATGGTGCAAAGTATATTGTTGCATTAGAGTTATTTTACACTAAGAAATGGTGCATTTTGGTGTTTTGAATTGCACATTGGAGATGGCCTTAATTTCAATAAGAAATTCTTTATAATTTTTATAAGTCGTTGGGTAGGCATCCCCTTTTGACCAGCACCTCCATTCCTTTTTATTGCCATCTCCAAGGTCAGACATGTTGGCTTAATGGTTGACTTCTTATTTTGATTATCACAAACAAATTGAATTTAAGTGATTGATAGTGATTATTGCAAATTTATGACACGAAAAATCTAGATCGAGAATCATGCAATCTTGGCACAAAATGACAAACACACAAGTAAGATTGAAGATTTACGAACGAGGAATTGGAAATCGAGCTTTCACGCACAAAATCGCATTAGATGAAGAAATTGAAGACATTAGCTATAGATGCATTTATATACTCAAATGTAAAGGTAAAACACTTTAATATTTTGCATCGATTATAACTCAAACAATTTTTATGCACGAGAATTATCATGACAAAAGTTTACTTGGATAAAAATTATTTTTAAAAGATAAGTAATTTGATTTTTCACAATTAAATCTCTATGAAATTATTTATCTATACGAAGTATATTAGAAAACCCTACAAGTACCTTAAAGAACATTTTTCACAAAAAAGAAAAATTTGATGGACAAAATAAATTGCCCATCCGGACGTCCGGATGTGGTGTTCAACGGTCGGATTTTTTACCGTTTGGCAAACGGCTAGTTAACCGTTTGGTATCCAAGCGAACGTCCAAATCACTTGTCCGGATCTCCTGATTGATGGCTATAAATACCTCTCTTTATACTTTTTTTTAAGTAAGAATTCTAGAGCATTAAAGAGAGCTATTAATTGATCTTATCTACCTTGTTTTTCAATCTTTAAGAGATCAAAATATTTATTTGTTGAAAAACTTTTTGAGTGAGTAACTTTTTGAAAAATCATATATCTCAATAAAAGTTTTTCACACAACACTTGAGCTATATTCTTTGTGATTTATTGAAGTGTTGTGCCTAATTCTCTCTTAATATTTAGTTGTGTTCATATCATTTGTTAAGAAAGAAACTTTTCAATTGTAACTTTGATTTCCTTGTTCATTAAATTGTGGGTCGTGTTGAGGTCCCGGAAAGCTCAACGTGTAAAAGGTTCTGTGCTCCTTAGTTGTAAGTCACCGGAAGCGTTGTAAGGGTTGGATTGCACCATAAGTCAATCAAAGATAGTAAAAAAAGTTTTGCTCGTGACGGAGAGCTTGGTAATGGGGGACGTAGATTGTGATTGAATCGAACCTCCTTATTACATCGTTTGCACTCTCTTTTCCCTTCCTCTTATTACTTTTGTGTTGTCTTATTTATTCATAGTTATTTGCTTAAATTTGCGTTTATTTTCAAAAAAGTTTCAAATAACCAATTCACCCCCTCTTGGTTAGTTGTTCTTAGGCTTTCAATTGGTATCAGAGCTTGGTACTCCTTTAAAAGAAAAAGATTCTACAATCTTGAGTAATGGCTAACTAAGTCCTTCAAAAAATCGGCCTCCTTTCTTTGATGGTACGCATTATAATTATTGGAGGGTTAGGATGATGATATATGTCCAATTTATTGATTACAATATTTGGGAAGTTATAGAATATGGTCCATATGCTCCCACTAAGACTATTAAAGTAGATGGTAGACCGGATCAAACTCTCCCCAAATCTAGAGAAGAATACGATGATGAAGATAAGAGAAAACTCTCATTAAATGTCAAGGCTAAAAATTTACTTTATTGTGCAATTGATAGAAATGAATTTAATTGAATTAGCACATGTGATTCGGTATATGATATTTGGCATGCTCTTGAAGTTACTCATATTGGTACAAGTGAAGTTAAGGAAACAACGATAAATATGCTAGTTAAAGAATTTGAAAATTTCTTTATGAAACAAAATGAGTCTATTGTTGACATGATTACTCGTTTTACCGATATTGTAAATGGTCTTAAAGGTTTTGATCGTAAATTTACTAACGGTGAACTTATGAGTAAAATACTTAGGTCCTTATCAGAGGAATGGAGTCCATTGATGATGTTGATTGAGAACACTAAGGATGTAAATACATATCCTTTGGAAGAGCTCTACAGCACATTAATGACCTATGAACTAAATAATGTCGAGGTTAAGGAGAAAACTAGGTAAGGAGGAATCAAATGAGCCTCCTAAACGACAAATTGCATTAAAATCGACAATTGAAGAAGAAACATCAAATGAAAATATGAGCAATGAAGAGTTTGATGATTTGGTCCTTCTTGTCAAAATATTGAGAAGTCTTCGTAATAATCGAAGATTCCAAAAGAAAGAAGAAAATGGGGAAGCAAGGAGCAAAAAGATCATTTGTTATGATTGTGATAAACCGGGTCACAAGAGAACTGAATGTCCCAACAAAAGGAAAAATTTCAAAAAAAAGCACTCCAAGTCTCATGGGATGATAGCAACAACGAAGAACAAAATAAAAATGATAATGAAGTATGTGCTTCATGGCAATTGAAGATGAGGTATGCTCTTATGATGAACTTTCAAATTCATATGATGAAATGCTTGAAAATTTTGAAAATTTTGTTTTGAATCATGTTATCCTTAAAAAGAAAATTTTATTTTAAAAGAAGAGATTAAGAAAATTTCGGAAAAGCAAAAAGAAGATATTGATCAAAATCTCTTGATAAAAGAAAACATTTCTTTGAAAAAGAAAATTAATGACTTAATAAACATTATTCATGAATTTACCGAAGGTAAGAAAAATTTTGATTTGATGCTTGATAGTCAAAAGTGTGTTTTTGATAAAGGAGGTATTGAATATAAACCCTTTCTAAAACAAAAATCACTCAAAAATATGTTTGTTAATGTTTCAAATACTTCTTGTAATTTTTGTAATAAAAGTGGACATATAGCTTTCAATTGTTTAACTAAAAAGAAATTTTTATTTGAAAACAAATACAAGTGGATAAAAGAATCCGCAAAAACTAACTACCAAGGACACAAGTTTAAATGGGTACCAAAAATCAAAACCTAAATTGTCTTTGTAGGTACCAAAGAAAACAAAAAGCAAATGGTTCTTGGATAGTGGATGTTTGAAGCATATGACCGGAGACCGATCATTGTTATCAAACTTTCAAGAGAAGGATGGAGGCCATGTGACTTTTGGAGATAATGCCAAGGGTAAAATAATAGGTTTTGAAAACATTGGTAACCACTCATCCCCCTCTATCGAAAATGTTTTACTTGTTGATAATCTTAAACATAATTTACTAAACATTAGTCAATAATGTGACAAAGGTTATAACATAAAATTCGATTCTACCAAATGCCTTATTAAGGACGTCACATCTAAAGAGGTGATTTTTATAGGAAGCCGAAATAAAGATATTTATATTATAAACATTGAATGAGAAAATAAAGAATAATGTTTACTTAGTTTGAAAGAAGAATCATGGTTATGGCATAGAAGACTTGGATATCTAAACATGGATATTCTTTCAAAAATTTCCAAAAATTGTTTTGTAAAAGGTTTACCAAATTTGAAATTTGAAAAAGATAAAATTTGTGATACTTGTCAATTTGAAAAAAAAGTAAAAAACTCTTTCAAATCAAAACTTTTTACTTCAACTAAAAAACCTTTACAATTTCTCCATATGGATCGTTTTGGACCTTCTAGGACGGCTAGCTTAGGAGGTAAACATTATGTTTTTGTTATTGTTGATGATTTTTCAAGATTTACTTGGGTTATATTTTTAAGCTTAAAAGAAGAAGTTTTGAAAATTTTTAAACATTTTTATAAGAAGTTGAAAATGAAAAAGGCTATTCTATTTCAACTATTTGGAGTGACCATGGTGGAGAATTTGATAATGTTGACTTTGAAGATTTTTGTAAAGAACATGGATATGAACATAATTTTTCGGCTCCTAGAATACCTCAACAAAATGGTGTAGTAGAAAGGAAGAATCGTACATTACAAGAAATGACTCGAACTATGTTAAATGAAAATAACTTGTCTAAATATTTTTGGGTCGAAGCCGTTAATACCGCTTGCTACATTATCAATAGGGTATTAGTAAGTAAAAGGAAAACTAAAACTCCTTACGAACTTTGGAAAAATAGAATTCCAAACATTAATTATTTCAAAGTTTTTGGATGTAAATGTTTTATTTTAAATACAAAAGACAATTTGAAGAAATTCGACTCCAAATCCAATATTGGAATTTTCTTAGAATATTCATCGACTAGCAAAGCATATAGAGTTTTTAACAAACGAACTCTGGTCGTTGAAGAATTCATGTATGTTACTTTTGATGAAACTAACTCATTTGATCGAGAGAAAGGTAGTGACGACGATGTAGGTTTGGAAGCTCCTTTCGAACAAATGAAATTCAAGACCAAATAAGGAGGCACCAAATGGAGACATAGAAAAGTCAAATGCTCAAGAAAATGAAGAAAGACAAACCGGAGAACAAAGTGATCCCTCGTTACCAAAATAATGGAGGTTTGTTCCATCTTATCCCAAAGAGCTAATAATTGGCGATTCATCAAAAGCTATCACTACTAGAACTGCTTACAAAAATCATTTTGGTAGTTGTACATTTATTTCTCAAATCGAACCTAAGAATTTCAAAGCAGCCGAGTTTGATGAGTTTTAGATTCTAGCAATGCAAGAAGAATTAAATCAATTTGAAAGAAATCATGTTTGGGACTTAGTTGCTAGACCAAATAATCAAACCGTTATTGGAACAAAATAGGTTTTTAGAAATAAAAGAGATGAAAATGGAATAATTGTGCATAACAAGGCTAGATTAGTGGCCCAAGGTTACAATCAAGAAGAAGGTATCGATTTTAAAGAAACATTTGCACCCGTAGCAAGATTAGAATCCATCCGCATACTTCTTACATTTGCATTTTACAAAGATTTTACACTTTATCAAATGGATGTTAAAAGTGTTTTTTTAAATTGTTTCATTCAAGAAGAAGTTTTTGTTGAGCAACCTCCCGATTTTAAAGATCACAAGTATCCGAATCATATATTTAAACTTCAAAAAGCTATTTACGGTTTGAAACAAGCTCCTAGAGCTTGGTATGAACGGTTGAGCAAATTTCTTCTCTGAAATGGTTTTTTGATTGGAAAAGCGGATACTACACTTTTTATAAAAATTCATAAAGATGATATGCTCATTGTTCAAATTTATGTTGACAATATTATTTTTGACGCTACAAATATACATCTTTGTGAAGAATTTTCAAAATGCATGAGTAAAGAATTTGAAATGAGCATGATGAGTGAGTTAAAAAAATTTCTTGGCCTTCAAATTAAACAAATGAAAGTAAGAATTTTCATAAATCAAAATAAATACATATTAGACATGCTTAAGAAATTTGACATGCATGATATCAAGCCTGTGAACACGCCAATGAGCATATCTCTAAAGCTTGATAAGGATGAGTAAGGTACAACTGTGGATGTCACAAAATATCGAGGTATGATCGGATCCCTTCTTTATTTAACTGCTAGTATGCCCGATATTATGTTTAGCGTTTGTCTATGTTCTCGTTTTCAATTTAATCCTAAAGAATCACACTTAAAGGTTGTAAAAATAATTTTTCGTTATCTAAGTGGTATGAGAACTTTAGGACTTTGGCATCCAAAAGAGACTCATATTGACTTAATTAATTATTCGGATGCCGATTGGGCCGAATGTAATGTTGATCGTAAAGCACTAGCGGAAATTGTCACTTTCTAGGCTTTGCACTTGTGTCTTGGTCTAGTAAGAAACAAAATTTCGTTGCACTATCCACCGTCGATGCAGAATAAATCTCGGCCGCTAGTTGTTGTGCACAAACACTTTGGATGAAGCAAACTCTATGTGATTATCATTTGTTTTACGATTATGTGCCTATTTTATGTAATAATACTAGTGCCATAAATTTGTCTAAAAATCCCGTCCTGCATTCACGAACTAAGCATATTGAGATTCGACATCATTTTCTTCGTGATCATGTACAAGAAGGAGATATTGTATTACAATTTATAAAGATCGAGGATCAGTTGGCCGATATTTTTACCAAACCTCTAGCATATGAACGTTTTTTTAATTATTCGAAGAGGATTGGGGATTATTGATGAAAATGAAGTGAACTAAGTTTAAGTTTCTTTCACTTAAGCTTTTTTTTATTTAAAAATAAAATAAAATATATTATCCGGACAAGCAAAAGCTGTCCGGACTATACTGTCCGGATTGGCAGAACGATTCATATAATTTCATTCACTGTCATCCGGACGTCCGGACCATGGCGGTCTAGTTTTTTTAAACACGCAACCATCTCGTTTTTTCTTCCATTTCTTCATCTTCTTCGCAAAAATTCTCTTTGCAAATCCACACAATAGCACCTTTTTTGTTTGAATCTTATTAATTCACTTTTTATAAAATTATGCCCTACTGATACTATTAATATTCAGACCTTAAAACGGATGAAGATAGTAAAGGAACATGGGCAATGGGTGGCTCATATGAAAAGGTTCGATCCTACCTCTGGTCAATCCACTCTCCCGTTTGAAGATGAAGCAGAATCAGACGAAGAAGAAACTGAAGTTCCTGTTCCCGCATCTGACATTCCTGGCTCGAGCGTGCCTCCTACTTCCCGAGGGCATTCCACATTTACCGAGGAGCACTATAATCTCCTCCATGGGCGGATTGATTCTCTTACCTCATCGGTCGATGGCATGGGTAGCCTACTTCTCCAGATGCAAGCTCAGGAAATAGCTATCCAGGACCGACAGCTCAAGATGCAGTGGCAGTAGCTCGAGATGCAGCAATGACAGGTTGAGATGCAGGCTCAGTAGACTGCATTTTTCACCGAATTTTATGCTAGATTTCCTCCTCCGGCCCCTTAGTTTACTTTCTTGCCTACTATTATTATTATGTTAGTTGTTATCTATTGCTCTTTTATATTTTAATTGGTTGACTTCCTAAATGGTACTATTTTTTCTTCATGATATTTGACCTATTATATCTTTTTGCTTATGCTAAAAGGAGGAAGATGAGCAGATGATTATGCAACATAGGAACAACATAGCAAGGGGGAAAGTTATATTGATATGATCCAGGAGTCGAGCCCGTCGAAGGCAAGTGCGAAACGAGACCCGTTGATAGTTGATGACGGACCAATGACGCGATTAAGGGCAAAGCAAGTGAAACAAGCGATGAGATTGCTCGTTCAAGAAACCATGGATGGAACCATGTTCAGGACTCAAAATGGAGCAACTTTCATATTCGGGTCGAAGGCCGAATCAACTTGGATCAATTTGTTATCAAGCGACGAAAGCGGAGGCAGAAAACAAGACCATGCGGCCGCTTAGGCGAAATTCCATGCGACCGCACACATGGTTCCCGAAAACAAAAACTCCAACTCAAGTTAAACCATGCGAAAAAATCGGCGATTTTTTCTATTTTTGGCCGAATTTCCTAGTTTCGATAGAATTCTTATGGAATCAAATTACTACCATAATTTGGTGGTTTTGGACGTTTTTATTCATTAGTATAAATAGGAGAATATCTTTTCATTTTAAAAACATTTGAACTTTTGACTTTGAATTAATATTATAGAGAGGGAAATTTCTTCTTTCAATTTAATTGTTCTTCTTGAATAATCTTGGAACTTATCAAGATTCAACTTCTTGTGGCGTTCTATCAATCGGATTGTGGGTTCTTTTAATTGTAATCAAGGGGTTTTAGGTTCTTCGCTAATTTAGGATTTCTTGGTTCAATTTTTGGGGTTCAAGATCCAAAACCGGGTTAGTATTGGCATTCTTGGGTTCCGCATCAATCTCGTTGTGGGTTTCGTAGTTTTCATTGTTACGGGGTTCGCATCAATTGGTATCAGAGTTTTGGCTCCAACAATTTTTGCCCAAATCAGTTTTCGTTTTCTTTGTTGGTTTTGTTATTGATTTTCGGATCTAAAAAAATAAAAAATAAAATAACCTTGTTAAATATTATTGATCTGTCAAATACCAACTTTTATTATTCATTATCGTTCCTAAATTATTTGGACACATTGAATCATTCCATTCCTTCAATTCAAGTCGAGTTTTAAAAGTTTTCTTTGAGTCTTTTGTTACAATTATTGAGTCACATCCGGTTTGGGGAATTCTACACGATTTGATTGATTGATTGAGTTCATTGATTGTTCCTAGAAGCAATTGTTGAAAGAACTGAGTGGTAAAAGGCAAACAGGTGAGCTTAATAGAGGGTAAAAGCCCTTGTGTGTTTCCGAGTGACTT